AGCCTCCCAAGTGCTGGGATTACAAGTGTGAGCCACCATGCCAGGCCTTGTTTCATGTTTTCTGATTATCTCCCATCCTCTTCTGTTTCTCTTTCATGGATGCATATCTTTTCATATTTCATAGAGGATATTATTTATAGTGTTTTCTTTCATTTTGTTTTGAGGGATCCTCTGATCCCTTATAGTTTCCCTCTTTGTCCTCTGAGCTGCTTTTGTTCTGATTATTTGGTCTCTCACTTTTTAAAGTGAGGCACTAAAAAGTGAATGGAAATTTCCCTGGGCATTCCCACCCTATCACCCCACAATTGACAATCATCATCACGTTGATTTCTGCCCTCCACATTTTTTCCTGAATGTTATTTTAACGCTTTTCATTATTTTATATATTCCATTAAGCTAATGACCATATTTACTTGTAATTTCCCAATTGTTTTTTTGGACATTTTTTTTTTTTCCTGGCTCTGAGAGAAAAGTTTGCTATAAATATCTTTCTACATGTGGCTTTTATTTCTACCTAAATTATTTTCTTGGAATAAATTCGAGGAGTAGAATTACCAGGTCAAAAGCTTATGGGTGTTTTCATCAGTCTTTCCTGTGTGTTGCCAAATTTCTAATGGTAGTGGATACAGGTGCCATAGCAGCAGCAACAGGAGTACAAACCTCCCAGCAGTCTTTTTTTTTGAGACAGGGTCTTGCTCTGTTGCCCGGGCTGGAATGCAGTGGTGTGATCATGGCTCACTGCAGCCTCGACTTTCCAGGCTTAAGTCATCCTCCCACCTCAGTCTCCTGAGTAGCTGTGACTACAGGTGTGCACTACTGTGCCTGGCTAATTTTTTTGCATTTTTTTTTTTTAGAAATGGGGTTTCATCATGTTGCCCAGGCTGGTCTTGAACTCCTGAGTTCAGAGATCCACCTGCCTTGGCCTTGCAAAGTGCTGGGATGACAGATGTCTGCCACTGCACCTGGCCAGCACTTGATTTTTGAGTCTTTTCTTTATAGTTTTGTGTTGTTATAAAGGTACAACATAACACCTTAACCTTATTCTTATTTGAATTTGTCTATCTTTGAGTATTGGTGTGGTTGAACATTCTTTCATCTAGAACTGGGAAAATTAGCTGGGCGCAGTGACTCATGCCTGTAATCCCAGCACTATGGGAGGCTGAGATGGGTGGATTTCTTGAGGTCAGGAGTTCAAGACCAGCCTGGCCAACACAGCGAAACCCCATCTCTACTAAAAATCCAAAAATTAGCTAGAAGTAGTGGTGCATATCTGTAATCCCAGCTACTTGGGAGGCTAAGGCAGGAGAATTACTTGAACCCAGGAGGCAGAGATTGCAGTGAGCCAAGATTGCGCCATTGCACTCTAGCCTGGGCGACAGAGGGAGACTCTATCTCAAAAAAATAAAAAAATTTAAAAAATAGGGAAAATCAAGCCTGGAGAAAGTCTGTTAGATATAAAAAAGTTCATAAGAGAATTTCCAAATAGAAATAAAAGCAACATTATTTTGTGTTAGCTGTGATTCTTAACCTGGGGTCCAAGGGCTAGGTGGGTTGACTCCCTGAAATAATATGCAGAGTTTTGTGACCATATGCACATTAGCATGGAGAGGGTCCTTGGCATTCATCACAATTTCACAAGGATCTGGACCTAAGAAGTCTCACTTATAAGATGGAAGATTTCTGCCCCAAGTAGAAAAAAGGCAACAGAGGAAAGCTCTCGAAGGCCACTTTCTGTTTGAAATCGCATCCGGCCACTTGCTAGCTCTGTGATCTTGAGCTAATTATTTACTTCTTTGTGCTGCAAGTTTCCTTGCCTGTCAGGTTAGGTGGAGGTAAAAACAATAGCATCTATTTCATAGGATTGTTGTGATTAAATGAGTTGACCCAGATCGAGCACTTTTAATTTAATTTGTATTTTTAAAGGAGTTGCGTTCTTGTTCTGTGGCCCAGGCTGGAGCGCAGTGGCATGATCATAGCTCACTGCAGTCTTGAACTCCTGGGCTCAAGGAATCCTCTTGCCTCAGCCTTCCAAGTAGTTGGGACCACAGGTGCACACCACCACACCTGGCTAGTTAAATTACTTTTAATAGAGCCTGGCACATAGCCAATGTTTAATAAATGATGTTTACTGTTAAGAATTATTAATAACTGGAGCCTTCAAACAATAGCATAGGCGACATCATACAGCAGTGAGTTCCCTGTCACTTGAGGTGTTCATGAAGAAGATAACAGCTGTCAGGCAGGCTCTTGAGGGGATCCCTGAGTTGGGAGGGAGGAGGAATCTGGCATTCTGAGTTTCTGTGAATTAAATTTTCCTGTTGGGCATGTGGCAAATGGTGAGACTAGCAGTTCTCAAGAAGCCAACAGGCCTCCAGCAGGAGTGACAGCTGCGCCTGCTAATATGGAAATGTACTTCTGAGCAGGCAGCCTGTTTCAAGAGCATGTTCCTGGCCCGTTCTCCTGAGGGTGCAGGAGAATAGTTTTTGTTTTTGTTTTTTTCTTTTGAGTCAGAGTCTTGCTCTGTTGCCCAGGCTGGAGTGCAATGGTGCGATCTCGGCTTACTGCAACCTCCGCCTCCCAGGTGCGATCTCGGCTTACCGCAACCTCTGCCTCCCAGGTTCAAGCGATTCTCCTGCCTCAGCCTCCTGAGTAGCTGGGATTACAGACGTGCACCACCATGCCTGGCTAATTTTTTAAATTGTTAGTAGAGACGGGATTTCACCGTGTTGGCGAAGCTGGTCTGGAACTCCTGACCTTGTGATCCGCCCACCTCAGCCTCCCAAAGTCCTGGGATTACAGGCATGAGCCACTGTGCTCGGCCTGAAGAATAGTTTGAAAAAACCAAGTGCAGTTTCTTCACCATTCTGTGCAGAGAGACTAGGAGTGGGGAAATCATTCTTGGTGCAAACAAGATAACAGAGCAGGGGTTGGGGGCAGGGTGTATGGCGCAGGGGCAGAGTATGAGCTCCCAGTAGCTTTGTTGACTAACATATTTACTGAGCACTTACCAAAGGCTGTGGGCTGGGTGTGATTGCGGGTGGTGAGTGGGGTTAAAAATACAAATTAGATCCAGTATCAGTGTCTCCTCATTTTTCTAGTTTTCATTGTCCTTACTGGATTTCTAGGCTATTCTTGGAAGGGCAGTAAAGCTCAGCTGAGTGGCTGAGTGATATGATTGTCTTTGGGTAGTGGGCTCAGAGAAGAGTTGGAAATTTCTTTTTTTAATTAAGATAGGGTGACTCAGCCTGTCACCCAGGCTGGAGTACAGTGGTGCCATCATGGCTAACTGTAGTCTTGAACTTCTAGGTTCAAGTGATCATCCCACCTCAGTCTCCCGAGTAGCTGGAACTACAGGTGTGCACCACCACACTCAGCTAAGTCGTTATTTTTGTAGAGATGCGGTCTCCCTATGTTAACCAGGCTGATCTCAAACTCCTGGCCTCAAGTGATCCACCTTGGCCTCCCAAAGTGCTGGGATTACAGGTGTGAGCCACTGCACCCCGCCAGAAATTTCTATATATACGTCTGTGTGCATGCTTTTGAGCACAGGGTATGCCTTCAAACTTAATATTCCCTAATTTTGGAGTAAGTAAAATCTGAGTGCTGAGGAAGGTTTGCCTCTAGTCAGCTCCCCCAGAAGCAGACCCTGAGATAAGGATGAGTGAACCCTCTTTATTTGGGAGGTGAAGCACCTCTAGACTGGGGAGGGAGGAGGGGGCCATTACCACTGAGGGCAGCTGGAGCCTAATCATGCGGGAACAATGCAGGGCACATTCCTCAGAGGGGCTGAGGCTTTTCACACCCACTCCCTTCATCTCATTGGAGCCCCATTCCTTAGGTCTCCTAAATCCCCCGCACCTCTAACATAGGCAGAAAAAGCAGCTTCTGCACCAGAGGAAGCCCAGAAACAAAGAACTACAGGTGCTGGTGCTTTGACATCCGTGAATGACAAAGTGGAAAGAGAAATGGGCAGGCCACCAAAGCATCTGCCACAGTGTTTCCAGCAGGGATGAAACTCCCTCGGTGTGAGTGGGGCCGGGTGTGCATGGGGAAGAAAGATGGATTCCATCGAGCTCTTTCTCAAGCCTGGTCCTCTGTAAAAGGTTGTCGGTCTGTGTACTTCATAGAGGCAACTGGCCAAGAAGGCACAGGTGGGATGAAATCAGCCTGGGTTCCACCAGTAAGCACCATATGGGTTTGAGGCACTCGGAATAGACTTAGGTTTTAACACCAAGGGAAGAGGGAGGTGTGAAGTCTGATGGGTGAGAGGAAGGCGAAGAGGGGGGAAGCTGGGGCCTGAGAAAGCCGAGGTCATACCTGCCTTCCACTGTTGAGTCTCTGCTCATCAAAACCAGAAGTGGGATGGCCTCCCAGGAGACCTCTGAAATTTCATCATGTACATTCTATCAGCGCATTTTCTTTTTCTTCTTTTTTTATTTTTTGAGACAGAGTCTTACTCTGTCACCCAGGCTAGAGTGCAGTAGCACCATCGTAGCTCACTGCAGCCTCAACCTCCAGGGCTTAAGCTATCCTCCCACCTCAGGCTCCCAAGTAGCTTGGATGACAAGCGCATACCACCACATCCAGCTAATTTTAGTATTTTTTGAAGAAATGGAGTTTTACCACGTTGCCCAGGCTGGTCTCAAACTCCTGAGCTCAAGCGATCCACCTGCCTCGACCTCCCAAAATGCTGGGGTTACAGGCGTGAGCTACAGCAATCTGGCACTGCTGTTTCTTTGCATCCTCTAGAGAGAAACCCCCTTTTGGACTTTACCCCTGACCTGGCCTACCCGAGGCAATTCTCATAGCAGGAAAATGAGAACCATGAGTCTGTAGCCCCAAAACCTGGGATCTGGCCTCAGTTTTGCTCCTAACTAGCCATGTAACCCTGACAAATCACAGAGGCGACTGGGCCTCAGTTTTTCCAACTGGAAAACGAAAAGGCCAAAATAAAAAGCTTCCTGATGACTCTTTAGATGTAAGATTTGGTGAGTCTGTGGTTCTGGATACATGACTTTATAAACACTTCCCCATCCTGAATTTCTTTTGCATTAAGGAGGATTAAATTTAGCTGGAAGTAACAGTAAAGCCCCAAGAACAGATGTAGATTTTTCATGTCCACAAAGTCCAGTGATAGAAATTTTATGGTAAGTTACTGGAATGTTACTCCACGGTGTCAGTTCTATCTTGTTCTCTGCGATGACACTTCTATTCCCAAGGCTTTCTCATCAACTCAGGACAGCCTCTGGAGCTTCAGCCATTATATACATATTCCAACCTAGGAGGAGGGAGAAGAGGACGAATAAGAAATACTAACCATCTGGCCGGGCACGGTGGCTCACGCCTGTAATCCCAGCACTTTGGGAGGCCGAGGCAGGCAGATCATGAGGTCAAGAGACCGAGACCATCCTGGCCAACATGGTGAAACATAGCCAACATAGCCAGGTGTGGTGGTGCATGCCTATAATCCCAGCTACTCGGGAGGCTGAGGCAGGAGAATCACTTGAACCCGGGAGGCGGAGGTTGCAGTAAGCCAAGACTGCACCACTGCACCCCAGCCTGGCGACAGAGGGAGAATCCATCTTTAGAAGAAAAGTAGCCATCTTTAGAAGAAGATTCCCAGAAGCTACCATGAACTTTTTTGCTTATATCCCACTGATCAGAACTTAGATGGCCACAACTAACCTGGGAAGTGTAATCTTTTATTCTGGGCATCTGGGTTCCTGCAAAAATTTGGGGCACTATGACTATGAAAGAAGGGTAGAGGCCGGGCGCGGTGGCTCAAGCCTGTAATCCCAGCACTTTGGGAGGCTGAGACGGGCGGATCACGAGGTCAGGAGATCGAGACCATCCTGGCTAACACAGTGAAACCCCGTCTCTACTAAAAAAAATACAAAAAACTAGCCAGGCGAGGTGGCGGGCGCCTGTAGTCCCAGCTACTTGGGAGGCTGAGGTAGGAGAATGGCGTGAACCCGGGAGGTGGAGCTTGCAGTGAGCTGAGATCCGGCCACTGCACTCCAGCCTGGGTGACAGAGCGAGACTCCGTCTCAAAAAAAAAAAAAAAAAAAAAAAAAGAAAGGGTAGAGCAGGTATTGGGGGTGACTGCCTCATCTTCAGTTTCTCCAGGTTTGAGACTCACCAAATAATCCACTTCAGGTAGACTCTGTCCCTTGTCATGTGTCCAGTCCCAGGGGTCTTCACTTTGAGTTTGGCTCCTCCAGCTCTGCAGGCATTTTGTGGTTATTGGCCTCAACTTTTAGGCCCCTGTTTCCCACTATTTTCTCATTAGTGATGCTTATGATGACCTAGCACCTCAATTATTCTTTGCACTTTGTAAGCCCAAGGCGTCCTTCAGTTGTTGGAGATAGGGGACTGATGTTTTGGGGTCCCCAACACCGCTGCATTTAAGTGGTTGGCTAGAAAGTTTCATCGGAAGCTTTCTAGACAGGGGTGTTTAGAATGAGGCTCTCTTTGGACCCAGGTAAAAACTCTGAATTAAGTAAGTTTGGGTTCTTCCAATAAACAAATGCCCTCTAAATAGAGAGAGAGAATCTAGTGATTGGCTGAAGCATAACTCAGCATCTACTTATGCTCACAGTTATACTTTATTACAGCGAAAGGATACAAGGCAAAATCAGCAAAAAAAAAAAAAAAAAAAGGTATATGGGGCCCAGTCCAGAAAAAACCAGGGGGCAAGCTACCAAGAGTCCTCTCCAGGTGGAAGTGCTTAATTTCCCCAGCAATGAGTTGTGACAAAGCATATGAAATGTTGGCCACAAGGGAAGCTCATTGGAAACGCAGCTCCCAGGGTTTTTATTAGGGTCTGGTCCCATAGGCACCTTCTCCCTACCACGTACCAAAATTCCACCTCCCAGAAAGAAAGCAGATGCTCGGCATAAACCACACTGTACAGTCAAGACACAGTGAACCACTCTTATCAGGTTCAGAAATCATGGGAACACTCTGGAAAGCCAAGTGTGCAGATACCAGCCAAGGCCCAACTTTGCAATTAGGCCTTTCTAACTAAGGATCACCAGCCATCTCGGGCCTGCTGTTAGCTCTTCTCTGCACACCCGATGAATGTGTGCTGTAGCTATAAAAGAATTTCAGATTTTGGAGCCAGAGTCAGTGATGCTCGGTTTGAATCTCTCTCCATCTATTGATAAGGTAGGTGTCCTCTACCCGAGACCTCAGCTCCTGTCGGCTGGCCCTCACTGCACCCCTATCCTCTCCAGGCAATGGTGAAAACCCCTAACAGGTTGTCAGCCAGAATGCCCCCAGACTGAACCAAGGGTTGGGCTGCTTGTTCTCACAGCCCAGTAACGAGACGCAGATAAACCGGGAAAGAAGAGAGTTTATTTCTGTAACCAGGTACAGGGAGAAGGCCAGGAAAATATCACAGACCAACTCAAATTTACAAAGTTTTCCAGTGCTTATATACCTTTGAAGCTATGTGTCTATGTGTAAGTGTGCATTCATCAAAAGACACAGTGATTGATTCCCTCTAATCCATAACTAAGGTCTGAGTCCTGGAGACCTTCCTCCGGAGCCTCAGTAAGTTTACTTAATCTAGATGGGTCCAGATGCTGGAGGTGATTACCCTTATCTTGTCTCCTGCTGAATTACGGAGGTCTGGGGAGTTCTTTGCTGACCCCCAATAAAACGTGTTTAATCCTAAACGTGGGTACAAGGAATGTAAGAATTTCTTTGTTATTTTGTCATGCTTCCAGGCCCAGGAAAGGCCTAGGAAGACTCTTGGTGGGCTTTTGTTACATTCCAGCCTTTGTGTAAGGGCACTGGATCTTGCAGCCTTTAATATTGAATCTAAGCACTCAGGCAGTGCTGAAAGAGTTGTCATGGAGGCCTGCCTGTTTAGCTGTTAGTGAGACCCGACCTGCCACAAGTGGGGTTGAGTCCCAACCTTCTCCATATCCCCTGCAGGCCGCACAGAGCACCTGGGAAATCCCAAGTATGGAGTCTCATACTCGATCACTTACAGTGCCAGGTAGAAACTTAACATATGTGGACACTGTGGTGCATGGAGAACGCAGGCCCTTTTCAAGGTTTCTGTGCATGAATGCAGATAGAGGCCGGAGTTTTGACTTTTTAAAGTTGGAAATCCAGGTTTTTGTGTAAAAACACTCAAATTTTAAATATTTGCTCAAGTTAGCAAATAGAAAACCCAACAACAACCACCGAAACACTATGTGGGTCAAAGAATTTTTGACTCAAGTAATTTAGGTCACGCAAACTGTCCTGGGCCAGGAAGCTGCCTGCCCCTGCCCCCTGGAAGGGTTCTCCCTGGCAGGGATGTTTAGGATGAGGCTCCCTTGAGACCTGCTAAAACCTCTCAGGATTAAGTCTGGGTTCTTACAGCAAACAAATATCCTCTAAATAGAGCGAGAGAATCTAGTGGTTGGCTTTGAGGTGCAGTTAATTTTTTTTTTTTTTTTTTGAGACAGAATCCCCCTCTGCTGCCCAGGCTGGAGCGCAGTGGCACAATCTTACTGCAACCTCTGCATCTGAGGTTCAAGTGATTCTCCTGTCTCAGCTTCCCACGTAGCAGAAACTACAGGTGTGTGCCACCACATGTGGCTAATTTTTGTACTTTTAGTAGAGATGGGTTTTGCCATGTTGCCCAGGCTGGTCTCAAACTCCTAACCTCAAGTGATCTGCCTGCCCCCACCTCCTAAAGTGCTGGGATTACAGGCGTAAGCCACTGCGCCCAGCCAGGTTCATTTACTTCTAAACTACGCTATACTTTTGCAGTTATGATCAGTATTATTAATCGGATGACAAAGGCTTTCAGTCATACAGTGGCCTGGACTAAAATGGACTGGCTTTGTGTACTTTTAAAATCCCTCCCAGTACCTAGCACAGGGCCTGGTATATAGTAATTGCTCAGTGTGTGTCTGAAGAATGAGTGAATGATGAGTGGATCGATGAAGAATGGCTCTTTGCTTTGCCCATGGAGAAGACTCGATCTTGTGAATTTAGGCTGAGGGAATACCTAAAAGAAGCTGAGGCTTCAGTGTTCATTCAGAGACTAATTCGCAATAACTCAAATTTAGGTGGTGGTTTCCTTCCTATGTGGTGGTGGTTGCTTTTTGTTGAGATGTTTGTTTTGATAAATAAGAGTTCTTTTTTTAAAGACAGGATCTTGCTCTGTCACCCAGGCTGAAGTGCAGTAGTGCAATCATAGCTCACTGCAGCCCGTCACTCAGGCTCAAGTGATCCTCCCACCTCAGCCTCCCAAGTAGCTGGGACTACCGTGCACCCCACCATGCCTGACTAATTATTAAAACATTCTCAGTAGGATGGTCTCACTATGTTGCCCAGGCTGGTCTCAAATTCCTGAGCTGAAGGATCGTCCTGCCTCAGCTTCCCAAAGTGCTGAGTTTTCAGGGGTGAGACACCACTCCTGGCCAATAAAAGTGTTCTTAAGCCCTGAACTATTAGCATATAGCATAGTGCTAGGAGCAGAGTTTAAAAAATTGTAGTTGTTGTTATTCTTTTTTTTTTTTTTTTTTTGAGACAGATACTTGCTCTATCACCCAGGCTGGAGTGCAGTGGCGTGGTCTCAGCTCACTGCAACCTTCGCCCCCACAAGTTCACGCCATTCTCCTGCCTCAGCCTCCCGAGTAGCTAGGACTACAGGCGCCCGCCACCACGCCTGGCTAGTTTTTGTATTTTCAGTAGGGATGGGGTTTCACCATGTTGGCCAGGATGATCTCGGTCTCCGGACCTCATGATCCACCCGCCTCGGCCTCCCAAACTGCTGGGATAACAGGTGTTTGTTATCCTACTTTTAATGAAATTTAGTCATCTTTTAGCGGAAAAAAGTGGCTGGTTTAGGGGTTATTTTTAGAGGATTGCTGCCCCCTAGTGGATGATATGAAAGAGACAAGGGTTTGAGGCCTCTTGGCCTCTCCAATTCCACAAATTTGTACTTTATTGAGGGGTGGAGGGTGAGATAAACATGGCATGGTCCTCATCCTCCAGGAGCCTATAGAAAGCCTATAGAAAGGGCTACTGGGACTTTGGAGATGTTAGTTCTCAAGCCCTGATCCTCAGAATTCTGGTAGGAGGGGTAGGAGTGGGATGGAATTGTTGTGAGGAAAACTCCTTAAAAATATGCTAATGGAGAAAATTTTCCATTCAAATCTTCCTTCCATAAATTTTTCTTAGACATTAGGTATCTGCTACTGTTTACTCTAGTAGGTGCTACAAAATAAATAACTAATGAACAACTATTTAGTAAATACCCCTAATGCGGCAGCACATACTCACACTTAGTTGGACGCTTGTGAACATATATGTTCACAGCAGTGAAATTCTATTGTGCTTTGCAGTGTGTAAATTTAATGTTACTCAACAAGTTAAACTTAACGAAAGGGAGATTTGTGCTGAATCACAGCTTGGATAATGGATAAAGGCAAACCTTCCCGCCAGCCCCAGTGTATCCTAAGCTGTGACTTCCTAGGTGGTCTCCTCCGGGCCAGCATGGGAACTGCGCTCAGCCACCCGTTTGCCTGGAGCCCTCAGCTCATGGGCTATTTGTGGAATTTCTAGGGTGAGTGATCTGGCCTCGTTTAAACACAGGCATCTTTTACTTTTAGGAACAAATCTAAACAGTAGGAGGCCAGGTGTGGTGGTTCATGCCTGTAATCCCAGCACTTTGGGAGGCTGAGGTGGGAGGATTGCTTGAGCCCAGGAGTGTGAGATCAGCCTGGGCAACATAGTGAGACCTCATTTCTAAAAAATAATTTTTCTGAATTAGCTATTGAAGTTGTTCACAATATGTTGTGGTAGCACTTTGAGATATTGACCCATTTCCTTTTCATATTTCCCTTTGCACCTGTCCTCCCATTCAGGCAGAGTGGACTCTGGGCCCACTATATCAGTGAGGCTGTGGTGGTGTGAGTCAGAGCCAGCTTGCAAACTGTTCTAGTTTTTGTGTACCCTAGAGCTAAGCCCATAGTTGAATTCTAGGGTTTTTGGGAGTGTCTTAGTCCATTTTGTGTTGGTATAACAGAATACGACAGACTGGGTGACTTACAAAGAAAGAAAATTTATTTTACACGGGAGGTTGGGAAGTCTGAGATGGATCAAGGTGCCAGTATCTGGCAAAGACCTTTGTACTGTGTCCTCCCCTGGTGGGAGATGGAGGGGCAGAGAGCATAAGAGAGCAAAAAATGCAACTCACAGCCTCAAGCACTTTTATAACTGACATTAATCCATTCACAAGGGCTCTGCCCTCA